AATTTCTAAAATAATACCACAGTTTTAATTGCCATACTTTTATCATGTACTTTAGTATCTTATAGACCCATTTATCCTTCCTTCCTTTTTGCTCTTATAATTTTCCTGGCTATTTTTACATGCTTATTTTTGCAAATGACCTTAGAATCATTTTGTTAGTTTCTCTCTCCCTCCAAATTGAATTGAGATTTTGATTATACTCATATAAATATATTCAATAATTTGAAGAAATGTAATCCTTATACTATCAAGCCTTCATATATATATATCTCTGTGTAGAAGCAAATAACTGACTCATTATTTTAATATTTTCACCATTAGGAAAATATCCCTACTGTCTCCATTCTGTGCAATCCAGGAATGAGAGCTCGTCACTGGAAACAGATGTCAGAAATTGTAGGCTATGACTTGACTCCAGACTCTGGAACTACACTGAGAAAAGTTTTAAAATTAAACCTTACACCATACTTGGAACAATTTGAAGTGATAAGTGCAGGGGCAAGTAAGGTAAACATAAAGATCATCTCAAATGCTTTACTGGATGAGTTTGTTAATCAAGTAACCATTGTTTTTGTTGTGGTTAAATGTGTATAGTATTGGATAGCAGTGGGAGGAGATGGGAGAAATTGATAGCAGACTATTCTTTTTTTCCCACAAAGTGTGTGCTTATTTGTCCTGAATCTAGACTAGAAATAATCCCTTTGACCTTTTCTTAATTCTTCCGTATTCTAGTATAGTTGGATGATATGCTAGTATTGATACATAATTTTTCCATTGAGAATACTGGGTGGATGTATGTATGGCATGTGATGTGTGGGTATTGTAGCAAAATAAGTATGGCCCTAGATGAAGGGTTCTCGAAATACGTAGATTACAGGCTGCCTTCAGAAAGGCCACTTCAAAGAAAGTAAGTCTAGGAGGCATTTTATTATAATGTCTTTTTTATTTTTTTGAGACAGTGTCTCGCTCTGTTGCCCGGGGCCAGAGTGCAGTGGTGTCATCATAGCTCACTGCAACCTCAAACTCCTATGCTCAAGTGATTTTCCTACCTCAGCCTCCTGAGTAGCTGGGACTATAGGCATGTGCCGACCACACCCGGCTAGTTTTTCTGTTTTTTGTAGAGATGGGGTCTTGCTCTTGCCCAGGCTGGTCTCGAACTCCTGGCCTCAAGCAGTCCTCCTGCCTCGGCCTCCCAGAGTGCTAGGATTATAGGCGTGAACGACCACATTTGGCCCTCGATGTCCATTTTAATACTAACAGCAGTGATTTTCATAGCAAGTGAATTTTTTGAAACTATGTAACCATTCTTCTTAGGAATTTTTACATTGTTAAACAAAACCTTTCTAACTTAAAAAAATTATACTGTAGTCACAGATTATCCTAAGGAAATGGTAATGTAATATATCACATGCTTACTGAATTTACTAGGTAAAGTCAATATAATAAATAAGATCCTTCACTATCCTATTCTCTCTCTCTTTTTTTTTTTTATTTTTTTATTATTTATTTATTTATTTATTTTTGAGACAGAGTCTCACTCTCTTGCCTGGGCTATAGTGCTGTGGTGTCAGCCTAGCTCACAGCAACCTCAAACTCCTGGGCTCAAGCGATCCTCCTGCCTCAGCCTCCCAGGTAGCTGGGACTACAGGCATGCGCCACCATGCCTGACTAATTTTTTCTGTTTTTAGTTGTTTGGCTAATTTCTTTCTATTTTTAGTAAAGAAGGGGTTTCGCTCTTGCTCAGGCTGGTCTCGAACTCCTGAGCTCAAGCAATCCTCCCACCTTGGCCTCTCAGAGTGCTAGGATTACAGGCATGAGCCACCGCGCCCAGCCTCTTTTTTTTTTTTTAAGTTGGAAAAAGACATACAAATTTATTTAACATATATACATGGGGAGGATGACAGAGTGATTGCCCCTATCCCATTCTTTCTTCATTCCTCCCTTTCAGGAATTTTCATTAGAGAAAGCCATGCGTACAATGATAGGAACTTGGGATGACATTGCTTTTCATATAAGTCTATATCGTGATACTGGAGTCTGTATTCTTTCTTCGGTGGATGAGATTCAGGCTATCCTTGATGATCAAATTATAAAAACTCAGACAATGAGAGGCTCACCTTTCATCAAACCATTTGAAAAGGAGATCAAGGTATGTTAAATATGATAGTCAGCTCTTGGTCAGTTATAAAAATTGCAATCTTATTACATATATGTTCTCATGGAAATAAGTGAGTGTGTTGGATGGCTTTTTATTATAAATGTTTATTTAAATCATAGACCTATAACCCTGATATTTTATCTGGTGAAATATAAGAACAGATACTCAAAAATTACTATAGAAATATATAGAACAGAACTGATATACTAATGATTTTGAAAAGAAAAATTATGCTTTATTAAAATCTTCTCCAATAACAGTGATAGACTTGAAAGGAAAAGTTTAGGTATTATTTATTCTAACTTTATAAGACCTAGACTGTTTTTTGTTTGTTTGTTTTTTTCTTTTCTTTTCTTTTCTTTTTTTTTTTTTGAGACAGGTCTCGCTCTGTCGTTCTGGGTAAAGTGCAGTGGCATCATCATAGCTCACTGTAACCTCAAACTCTGGGCTCAAGGGATCCTCCTGCCTTAGCCTTCTGAGTAGCTGGGACTATAGGCACATCCCACCAGGCCTGGCTAATTTTTAAAATTATTTTTATTTTGAGTAGAGATTGGATCTCACTCTTGCTCAGGCTGGTCTTGAACTCCTGACCTCAAGCGATCCTCCCATCTCAGCCTCCCAGAGTGCTAGGATTACGGGTGTGAGCCACCATGCCCAGCCTCCTAGACTGTTTTATGTTGCATTCTTGCAACATGTAGTAAAAAGTTCTCTATACCATATTTTAATTATACTTGTTAACAGCTAGCTTGTCGGTCTTTCAGAATAATTAATGATTTATTGTCCACTTGAGAAAAACAAATGGTATTTGAGGCTCCAAGATTATTTCATATCTTTACAGTTGATGTGGGTAAATGTAGAAAGCAAACAAACTATGATAACTAATAGCTTCATAGGTATTATCAGACTTCTAACTGGGGATTATATAAATTGGGGAAAGACAAACAACTGGATGTTTTTATCCTGATAGTTATTGATTTCTAATTATGTGCCAGTTACTGCTCTAGGAACTTTACATTTATTAACCCATTTAATCTCCACCACAGACCTTCAAGGTAGGCACTATTATTGTCTGTATTCATAGATAAGGAAACCAAGGCATAGGAGGATAGGTAATTTGCCCAAGTTCACCTCGCTAATAAATGACAGAGCTGGAATGCAAACCAAGGCAATCTGGTTTTCGTTTGAGCATAAATAGTGCTTTATAAAATGTCTTGGCTGCTATTATTTGGAAAAAACAGAGTAATGTTCTTCCAAGAGGACATAAAGCTGGACATTTTCCCATGAATAAGGCTAACCCAGCCTTTCTTTCCTTTCTTTTTCTTTCCTTCCTTCCTCCCTCCCTCCCTGCCTTCCTTCCTTCCTTCCTTCCTCTCTTCTCTTCCTCTCTTTCCTCTCTTTCTCTCTCTTTCTTTTCTTTTTCTTTTTCCTTTTCCTTTTCTTTTTTCTGTCTCTTTTCTTTTTTAAAGAGATAGGGTCTGGCTGTGTCGCCCAGGCTGGAGTGCAGTGGTGCAATCATAGTTCACTGTAATATCGAACTTCTGGGCTCAAGTGATCTTCCCAGCCTCCAGGGTAGCTAGGACTACAGGTCTGCACCACCATGCCTGGCTAATTTTTTTATTTTTTGTAGAAATGAGGTGTTGCTATGTTGCTCAGGCTTGTCTCGAACTCCTGGCCTCAAGATATTCTTCTACCTCAGCCTCCCCAGTGCTAGGATTACAGGTGTGAGCTACCATACCTGGCCTGGCCTAATTCAGCTAATGAAATATCTTGTCAACTCTAGGGGATCTATGGAATAAGGAGGCTTATTTTATTTTATTTTTCATTTCATTTCATCTTTCTCCAAATTGTGTTGATGTAGAGCAAGATTTCTTAACCTGGCACTGTTGATATTTTGGGCTCTATAATTCTTTGTTATTGGGGCTGTGCTGTATATTGTTGGATGTTTAGCTGCATTTCTGGCCTCTACCCATTAGATACTAGTAGCATCCTCCTCCTATCAGTTGTGACAACTGAAAATATCTGCAGACATTGTCAAATGTTCCCTGGAGTGGAAGGCAAAAGTGCCCATGGTTGATAACCACTGGTATAGAGAAGGATATATCCTTGGAGGCTTTTGGGACTTGGGATGATTCACTTAGAGATTAGGAAATTGGTATAACTAACTTTTCAGTTATTTCTAATTATGAGTTCCAATTATTTAGGCGTACCTCAGACCTCCTAGAATTTTTCTAAGCCTTATGCAAAACACCCGTAAGTGACCTTAAGCTGTAAGCTGTTTTGCATTGATTTAAAAATAACAGTAAATTTTAAATATATTTTCATTACTATGATTTATAGCTTTTCTTTAATAACTGGGATTTAGTACAGTATGCTTTTCATTAAGGCCTGGGAGGACCGTTTGATTCGAATACAAGAAACAATTGACGAATGGTTGAAAGTTCAAGCTCAATGGCTGTACTTGGAGCCCATCTTTTGTTCTGAGGATATCATGCAACAGATGCCAGAAGAAGGGCGTCAGTTTCAGACAGTAGACAGACATTGGAGAGATATCATGAAGTTTTGTGCAAAAGATCCAAAGGTGAAGTGTTTATTTTCCCTCTTATAGTAGGTGAACCTTTATTTTTGAATATTAAAGAAAGCATTTGACTTTTTTCCCTGATTATAAAAATTAAACCTGCTCATTGTATATAAACTGTAAAGTTCAGAAACATATAAGAAAGCATACAAGTATTAAAATAATTTTACTTTTCAATTGATAAGATACACTACTTGTAACTCTTTATAGTGGAGCTGCTTCAAATGTACATTCAATTCACCTGACTTCTGCTATATACACTCACTTCTCCCCTCCTCACAAAATAAATAAACAAATAAAATAAAATAGGGAGAGTGAGAACAAGAGAGAAAGAGAAGCAGAGAATGAATAATGCAGGTGATTCACCTGACATTCCACTCAGTGACCCTATATGACCGACGAGTGATGGGGAAAAGAGAATCTGCTGTTCTCTGAGTTGGTCTCAATTCCTGTGTGTCTCTTCTAGTGAGTATAGCACCTTGTTGAGTGTGATCTAACGTTGAAAGACAGACTATGTGTTTTTCGTACACACAGTACATGTAGTCCTTAGATATACATCCACTTTTTAATTTGGTATTCAACTTAAGAAATGACAATTTATTTTAATGCTGGATGAAAATCTACCTGTGCTAGACTTACTGAGAATCAGTAGTGCACTGAAATTTTAAGGATTTTGCCATGCCTGTTGATTTTAGAATCTTTGTGAACATGATTTCTTATAGATCAAAGGTGAGCAAATTTTTTTTGCCTGGGGCCAGACTGTAAATATTTTAGGCTTTGCAAGACATAGGTCTTTTTTGCAAACTATTCAATTCTGCTGTCATTGTAGTGAGAAAGCAGCCATAGATAATATGTAAATGAGTGGATGTTTCTGTGCGAGAATAAAATTTTTTATGGACACTGACATTTTCATATGTCATGAAATATTTTTCTTCTTTTGATTTTTTTAACTTTCTGAGAGTGTGAAAATAATTCTTAGCTTGTGGGCCATTTAAAAACTGGTAGCAGGCTTGGATTTGGCCTGTAGGTTACAGTCTGCCAACTCCTGCTATCGATTGCTGAGTTTATGGTTGATGGTTGTAAACGAAAGAATTAAACTACACACAAACCTAACAGACTCTTCTCACATTATTCAAAATAATATAGGAGAAATGAAAATATGCATTACAGTCATATCTTCTCATTTGTAACTAATGTCCTTGGATAAGAATATTTATGAATTATTGAATTTTAGTAGTTTTTACATTATAAAAGTATTTCACTGCAAAGTTCATAAACCTTTTGACATTTTAACATTTAAAAATTTTGACATATAATATAGATTAATATAATATTTATGTCTTATGATTATATCTAGAATATAGTGCCAACCTTAACAAACATGTCTCTTTTAGGTTCTTGCTGCTACTTCTTTAACAGGTTTATTGGAAAAACTGCAGAACTGTAATGAACTTTTGGAGAAAATCATGAAAGGGCTTAATGCATATCTTGAAAAGAAACGTCTTTTCTTCCCTCGGTATGATCGATGATCAATTGTGCTATAATTAAGAGCATTTTCTGATGTGTGGTGAATTGTAACTAAAGCTTTTCTATTTGCATGTTTTCCCCTAGTTTTTTCTTCTTATCTAATGATGAAATGTTAGAGATTTTGTCAGAGACCAAAGATCCACTTAGAGTTCAGCCTCATTTAAAAAAATGCTTTGAGGGCATTGCTAAGTTGGAGTTCCTTCCCAATTTGGACATTAAGGCCATGTACAGCTCTGAAGGTGAGCGAGTGGAGCTGATTGCACTCATTTCCACGTCGGCAGCGCGGGGTGCTGTGGAAAAGTGGCTCATTCAAGTGGAAGATCTAATGCTCCGGAGTATTCACGATGTGATTGCTGCAGCCAGACTGGTGTGTTTCCTAGATTTAATGTATCCCCTATATTCTGTAAATGCTTTGTCTTAGGAAGTTTTGAATGGGTACCAGTAAATTAACACTTAAAAGTTCTATTTTAAACCATTTATTATTTTTTCAACTTCTTTTTTTGTTTCTAACATTATTATTAAAATAACAATGTTAGTACAAATTGGTAATAATGTATGATTAAGTGTTATAAAAGAAAAAAGGTGTCATGAGACAGAATAATAAGGGCTATATAATTTAGAGTGGAGGAAGCTCCAATGATAGGCTTTTAGCGGAAGTGATGTTGAAACTGAAACCCAAAGGATAAGTAGGAATTAACCAGGTAGAGAGCAAATGAGAGGGCATCTAGATATCCTGTATTAAAGGCCCTGGGATCAGAAAGAATTTGGGATTTTGAAAACCTAAAAGAAGACAGCTATGTCTGTAGTAGAGAAAGCAAAGTGGAAAATAAAGTCAGACGAGGTTGGAAAGGGAGGCAGTTAGGAGTTTGTATTATATATTAAATGCAATGGAAGATCATTGAAGTATTTTAATCAGGGGAGGATCATAATCTGATTTGTATTTTTATACCACCATGGCTATGGTATAAAGAATGAGTTAGTGGGAGTGTGAAAACAAGAAGGCAAATTAGGATATTTTTGTATTAGTCCAGATGAAAGCTGATATGAGCTGGTACTAGGCAAAGTGGCAGAAGGTATGGAGCAAAGTAGACAGATTAGAATGGATTTTGTAGTTAACTTCAACAGGTTGAATTGATTGTAGAGTGTGAGGAAGGGTGAGGAAGAGGAGGTCTCAAAAATCACTTTTAGGTTTCCGATTTGAGCATATGGGTGGCATTTACTCTGGGGGATGCCTGGTGGAGAAGCAGGTTTGTGGAGGCTTAGGGGAAGATCAAGAGTTCAGTGTTAGAAATGCTTATGAGCTGGCCTAGTGGATATGTTTAGTAGACAGACAATTATGCCCTTTAGAACGTGCTGATCTATAGGACAGTTCTCAGACATGAGTGTTAAATGCATGATTTAGTTTACTTACTGCTTTTAGAACTTAAATCACTACTTAAAAACCCCAAATGAGATGAACAAACATTAAAGGAGGATATATAACCAATTTGAAAGAAATATAACACCTCAGTACTACATGTGTCTCACTTTTGTTAATCCAATTAACCTAATCGTGAATGATAAACTGCAGTACATTTCTCCCTTTAGGACCACAGAGGAGCAGTTACGTAGTAGAATAGTTTTAAAAGACATTGAAGGCTTATATCCAGCAATTCACTGTATATGAGTGAGGTGTCTTTTTCATTTCACCGAGATCCTTACAAAGCTCATTTTCTTGTGGTGGCTATTCTGTTCAGCTTCAGTGTTCCTGCAGATAAATCTTGACTTTTTCTTTCGTTTTACTGTTTGTGATTCCAAACAAACTAAAAACATAGGAAAGAATCAACATTGTCCATGAAAGTATTTCCTTAATCAGTATAGAAATTTACCTTCTATGTACCTAGGAATGGCTCTCAGTCACGATTTATCATTCTTTGAAGCGTAGGTTAGTCATTTGTGTTTATTTCTAAATATTGCCAATAAGAAGAATTTTATAGTGATATGTATTTACATCCTATGTTTAACGTTCTTATATCTAAGATGGTATAATTGTATTAAAATTACAGTTTCCATTGGCATCAATCTCAAAATTCATTCTGCAGTTGTTTTCTTTTTTAATTTTTTATTTGGATCTGCCAATATTTAAAAAGATTAAACCTTTCCCCCAATAAATCCATTAAATGCATTTTGAATATAAAATGTTAGAAACAAATGAAAGTATATTTTGAATTCCAAAGCATAGATTGTTCAAGTATATGTAATCGAACAAATATATAATGGTTTACATTATATAACCTGGTTGCACAAGTTTTTAGAAAAGCTATGGATAAATAATACAAGGGTTCCAACTACTAATCTAACCACATTTTCTGCTACATTTTATAGTCTCCTTTTCAATTAAATCTTAGTATCAATATACATAATCAATTTGACTAGTTTTTTTAAAGTTTACTAAAACCTTTACATATCATTATAATAGAAGTAATATGTATTTTACATCAAAAACTTAACTCCCCATAGCAAAGGAGCATAAAAGTCCAATAGAAATCAACTTATAGAAAAATGAACAATTAAATCTGTCTAGACATAATCCATTATTAACATGTTGTTGCTCATCTTTCCATTTTTTAAATAAATAAACAAGTATTTCAAAAATATAAGCATAATTTATAATACTTTTTAGGTCTTTTCAATAGTCATCTAAAATTTTTCACATCTATGTGATATTCTAGCCTATGAGTGTACCAAATATTACACTTCCGTATTATTAGACATTTAGCTATTTTTTTCTCATGCAGTCTTTTAAAGTTAGAAATTCATTTGAATTATTCAGGCTTATCCAGAATCTGCAAGAAGAGACTGGGTTCGAGAGTGGCCTGGCCAAGTTGTACTTTGTGTTTCTCAAATGTTCTGGACTTCTGAGACACAGGAAGTTATAAGTGGTGGGCCAGAGGTAAAGCATTTTTGATATAAACAACCACATACTTTTCTCCATTCCATGTGTTTTAGTTTATCTATTCTTTGCAAAAGTATTACCTCCTTCAATTTCT